CAAGGCAGGTAAGAACTTTTCTTACACTTTGTTCTCTGAGCTTCACAAGAGAGAATTAAATGGACTTCCCTCACTAATTTTATCATTAGTAGAATTATATTCATTACTAATAAACTGTGAGTCATTCCGAATTAAATACATAGTACAGTTGATTCTAATTAATTGCAGTAGTCATGCTCTTTAAAGTTGCTGTTCACAGAACTGTGTTGAACCACTGCTCCAGAGAGATACAGGGTTAGGTTCCTGTGAGTCTCTGGTTACATTTTCATCTACGTATCAATACATAATCTATGTAATACAGGCAGTTACAAACATCAGACTTCTGTGTAACTTGTACTTATGAATGGGGGACTATTATAGTAAGTTCCCGAGTTACAAACATCTGACCAATGTCTGACTTGCACTTATGGATGGGGGCTATTACAGGTAGTAGGTATATGTACCTGTTATACCTTACATATGAATTCAACTTAAGAACAACCCTACAGAACCTATCTTATTCATAACTCAGGGACTGCCTGTATGTATTCTTGATTCATAAACATCAGATTCCCCCCTGCAGCACTATAACTCATCCCTGAATGAAACTTCTGTGTATTATTTTCTCTGTAAAATCATATCACAACTTTCTTGCCCTTAGAAATACTAGACAGTACTATGTTTGGTGGCCATTTTAAAAAGTGAAATTGCTTGCAAATGGAAGAAAAATATGAAAAACATGACCCTAAAAGTTAAAGGACATCTGTTTGTAGTATAGGAGTTTAAATAAGAGGACAGAGTCTCTCCCATTCAGCTTCAGCTGGGAATGTCAGCATATGGCGAGTCGAATTTTTCTCTGCTCTGCGCATGATTGCAAAATCCCCATAAACATTGATTTAGGGCTTACAGCTAAATTTTAGCTTCTAGACAAATTCAAAAATATGGAATGCATGAATAATGAATATAATCTCAGTATCAGTTAATCAATCTTCGTTTTCATTTTATTAGAATTTTGAAGTAGCAGTGTACACAATCTAAAGTTAATATCACTAAACATCTGTACCAAACTTATTGTTTCAAAATTGAACAGTTACGTGTTTCCTATTAGTAGTTAATATTTATAGCCAAACCTACAAGTTTTATCTATTTCTTACCAGATGTCTTTTCCTCCTTTAGGAAACGATGCCCCCACCAACACATACTGCATTTTCTGGCCATCATCTGCCATTTGTTGGTTTTACATATACTAGTAGCTGGTAAGTTTGAAAAGTTAACATAGTTTGGACAATTTAAAGCAAATTAAAGTAAATTGAAGTTTTGTTTTTTTTATAGAGACAGAGTCTCACTTTACTGCCCTCAGTAGAGTGCCCTGGCGTCACACAGCCCACAGCAACCTCCAGCTCCTGGGCTTGGGAAATTCTCTTGCCTCAGCCTCACAAGTAGCTGAGACTACAGGCACCCGCCACAATGCCTGGCTATTTTTTTTGTTGCAGTTTGGCCCGGGGCTGGGTTTTTTTTTAATGTAATAGGTGAGAAAAGCTTTGTAAATTATAGTTTTTTAAAAAATAGAATGAGCCTATTGCTAGGAAAAGTTAGATGTTACAAGATGAATAGAATACACAAGAATCTTAACTCATTTTGGTGGGGGAAGGAATGGAACAAGTAGAGTTCAGACTCTAACCCTTAGCAATGGGGTAAGAATTGGAAGAGTCTCTTGCTGTTGAATAAATATTTTCTAGGTGTCAAGCACAAGAACATTCAGCTCATTAATCCTACCATCCTTTTTTTGACCCTCTCTCTACTTATAACCTTTCCTACTTTTCAATTAAAATTCCATTGAGAATGATTAGAATCACTCCTTGTGTGGCACCTCACTTTCCTTGGCTTTCTCTCGTTTTCTTGTATTGGTAAGTCAACATTCATTATTAAAATTTAATTCTCTGTCTGATCTGTGCAGTTCAAAGTGACCAGGGAGAAATACCTGACCATTCTTATTTGTTTTTACATTAAATTCATGATTATGAACCTCAAGTATCTCCTGTTGCTGTCTGGCAGATACAGTATATAACCCTAGTGTATTCACTGTTTACTCCACAAGATAACTTTTTCATTCTTTCTACTAAAATCTCTGTAATCCTCACTGTTAGCTGATTTTGCTTCCTCTTTCACTGAGAGGACTGAAGGAAACAGCAGACAACTTTCACAAGCTCCCATCACATTTATCACCTACAAACCTCTGTACCTATATGACTTTTTCTTTCCCTGGATGAACTGTGGAAGCTCTGAGCTAAGGCCAGCCTCTTTCACGTCCCCTCGTGAGTATGCTCACTTTTATATCAATAATTTTTCCGTTTCTATGTCCTCTGTATTATCATATCATTTCCATCAGCTTACAAACATGAAATTCTTTCTCCCATCTTAAAGCAAAATATAAAAATCTCTCTGATCTCACTTCCCTTACCTGTTACTGACCATTCCCTTGTTCTATATTATAGCAGAATCACTTCAGCTGTTGATTATATTTTGTCCATTTTTTGTACTATTCTATTTTGAATTCATTCCAGTTGGGTTTGTGCCCCCATCACTTCATGCTAACTGTTTTTATCGATGTCACCATTGACCTCCATGTTGCTAAACTAATGATCACTTCTCAGTCCAAGTTTTTCTTACTTGCCTGGTCTCTTCCTTTGCACAACTCCACGTTATTAGAACACTTTCTTCTCTTAGCTTCCAGGCACAACTGATTTTCTTCTTATCTTTCTGGCCATTCCTTCTCAGTCTTCATACCTGATTCCTTCTAATGGTCTCTGATGTTCTCCCAAATATTTGCTGATAACTCCTAAATCTATATCTCCAGCTGAGACTTCTTTTCTCTTTTACTTAATATGTTCATAACTCCATTTCTTTTATTTCTCAGAACATATGTATGATCCTGTGAACATATGATCCTATTAAAAGATAAGTCAGAAAAGATATGGCACTCCCCTGTTCAGGACCAATACCTCCTATCCCCCAATTCCAGTGGCTTTGTATCTTAACTCCAAATTAAAATTCTTACAAAGCCCTATATGACTGGCTCACTTTTATCTTTCTGAGTTTATTTTCTGTACTCTTCCCTTTGCTTACTCTACTCCATCCCCGTAGGCCTCCTTTCTTGGCTGTGAATGTGCCAGACATACTCTTGTCTTAGGACTCTGTTCTTCTGTTCCATCTTCCTGGAATGCTCTTCCTTCTGACATTCCCTTGGTTGGTCTCCTTACCCTTACTTGTTTTTTCTTAAAGTTACTTTCACAATGGCAGCTTAGATCACTTTATCTAAATTTTTATCTCCTCCCCTCAGTACTTTATTCTCATTTTCCTGCTTTGTATTTTCTAGTATACTGAGTATTTAATTATTTTGTTTATATCTTTTTCTGTCAGTGGAATATAAACTCTTTATGGGCAAGGATTTTTGTGTTTTTTTGTTCACTTCTGAATGCCCAGCACCTCAAATTTTTAATTGTATGGAATTTAAAAAAGGACCTCAGTTTTGAATTTCAAATTCTGGCAGAGAGAACCATGGGTACTATTATTGACAAATGTGTCACTTAAGGGGTCAAATTGTTTTAAACTACAAATAACCTTGTAGCAAATTTCATTTTATAACCTGTATTTCTTACAATTTGGGGTAGAACAAGAGAAGGATTCCCGTTTTCTTTCTTTTTCTTTTTCTTTTTTTTTGAGACAGAATCTCAAGTTGTCACCCTGGGTAGAGTGCTGTGGTGTCACAGCTCACAGCAACCTCCAACTCTTGGGCTTAAGCTGTTCTCTTGCCTCAGCCTCACAAGTAGTTGGAACTACAGACGCTCACCACAACACTTGGCTATTTTTTAGTTGTAGTTGTCATTGTTGTTGGGTGGGCCCGGGCTGGATTCGAACCCACCAGCTCTGGTGTACGTGGCTGGCGCCCTAGCCAATTGAGCTACAGGCGCTGAGCCAGGATACTCATTTTCATCACTCCTTTCAACATAGTACTGGAAGTTCTAGTTAGAGAAGTTAGACAAGAGAAAGAAAGGACATCCAAATTAGAAAGGAAGAAGTCAAATTCTTATTTGCAGGCAATATAATCTTATATAGAAAGAAACCTGGCTCGGCGCCTATAGCTCAACCGGCTAAGGCACCAGCCACGTACACCTAAGGTGGCGGGTTCGAATCCCCAGCCCGGACCCGCCAAACAACAATGATGGCTGCAACCAAAAAATAGCCGGGCGTTGTGGCGGGCGCCTGTGGTCCCAGCTGCTTGGGAGGCGGAGGCAGGAGACTCGCTTGAGCCCAGGAGTTGGAGGTTGCTGTGAGCTGTAATGCCACAGCACTCTGCCCAGGGGGATAGCTTGAGGCTCTGTCTCAAAAAAAAAAAAGAAAGAAACCTAAAGACTCCACCCCAAAACTATAAGAACTGATAAATTCAGTACAGTTTTAGGATACAAAATCAATATACAAAAATCAACAGCAATTCTATATGCCAGCAATAAACAATTTGAAAAAGAAACCAAGAAAATAATCCCATTTATAATAGCTACAAATGCAATAAAATAACTAGTAATAAACTTAACCAAAGAAGTGAAAGATCAGTCTAGGTGTGGTGGCTTACATCTGTTCTCCTGGCACTCTGGGAGGCTAAGGCAAGGGGGATCATGATCTTGAGCAAGCGTCCTCAAACTACAGCCCACGGGCCACATGCAGCCTGCCTAGGATATTTATCCGGCCTCCCTGGGTGTTTTTGCTGCTGCTGCCTATCCTGCTTAGCAGCTGACTCGTCCCAGGGTCTGCAGTCTGGCCCTTCAACGGTCTGAGGGACAGTGAACTGGCACCCTGTTTAAAAAGTTTGAGGACCCCTGATCTTGAGCATGAGTGAAACCCCATCATTACTAGAAACAGAAAGACTTAGCCAGGCATCTGTGGTCCCAGCTATCCAGGAAGCTGAGGCAGGAGGATAGCTTGTGCCCAGGAATCTGAGGTTGCTGTGAGCTAGGCTGAGGCCTTGGCACTATAGCCTGGGTAACAGAGAGAGAGACTCTGTCTTTAAAAAAAAAAAAAAATCTGTAATGAAAACTATTATATAAAACATTGATGAAAGAAATTGGAGAGAACAGAAAAAAATGGAAAGAGATTCCATGCTTATGGATTGAAAGGATCAGTATTGCTAAAAATGTCCATATTACACAAAGCAAGCTGTAGATTCACTGAAATCCCCATGAAGATACCAGTGGTCTTACTAGACCGGAAAGGAAAGGGGTTCTGTCTTTAGCCTCTTTAAAGAGAATTAGCTGCCAACCTGTACCTTTCCAAAACTGAGTTTGTAAATGAAGGAGAAATAAAGTCTTTTCCCGGGGTAGCAAACACGAAGGGAATTTGTAACTACTAGACCCACCCTACAGGAAATACTCAAAAGTGATTATATATGCAACAGCACAGTAGG